AGAAAACTGAATCCTAAAACCAGCAATGGAGAATATCAAAATCCAACCTGATAGTACACTTGCTTATGAATACCAGAATAAAAGGGGCTAAAATACAAACAATTCAGCAGTCAGATACTCCAAAGCTCTGCTTGAATTTACAAAGTAGGATAACTGCCCTACATCCTGAATAGCCCTAAAGACTTTCTTTGGAGATGGTAACACAAAGTCTCTAAGAAACATCAGGTAATTTGAAGGCCAGGGTACCACAGTGCAAAGAGGTGGTATTCAGTGAATATATAAAAACCCCAGTCCTCTTCCCCCACTTAACTGTTAAGTCATGAGCAGTCAAGTCAGTTCTTCAACCCCAAGACAGGAGGCTAGACATGTTTTCTCTAGAGAATATAATCTTTCCAAGAGTAAAAAGCTAAATAAATGACATGGAAGGTTCTCCAACACAAAACCCAAGTCAGATCGTCCAAACTGACGTTCACTGTGAAGGAGTTCGGCTCAGAAATTCACACCTTCCAAATGGCTTTCTGTCTCCCACTCAGACAGGCAACAAAGGATTCTTAGATATATGAATTAATCTCCTGATATGAAAGATAGAAATCAAAGAAAACAAAATAAAAAATACAAGTTGAAGGAAACACACTATGTAGGAAAACACATTTCAAAAGAATGAATAATTACCTTTAAGAGAAAATGCCTGTAATACCGGCTACTCGGAAGGCTGAGGCGGAAGGATCGCCGGAGCCCAGCGGGTCGAGGCTGCGGTGGCCGGGAGCGGCCACTGCACTCCAGTCTGGGCGACAGAGTGAGACTCCAACTCAAAAAAAAAAAAAAAAAAAAAAAAAAAAGAGAAAATGCAATACGGGAAAAATTTTTAACAAAAATTTTAACAAAAATTCAGAGAAAATACTCTTAGAAATAAAAAACATCACAGCAGAAAAGAAAAATTCAGTGAAAGATTTGGAAGAGGAAGTTGAGGAAAAAGACAAAAAAGATGAAAAATAGGGAGAAACAGGAAAAAAATCAGGGTACAAGCCTAGGGGATTCAGTATCCAAATAACAGAGAGTAAAGAAAAAACAAAGAAGTAGATTAATTCAAGGATGCTGTCTAGAACTGATGCATCAAAGTGAAAGGGCCACAGACCGCCTTGAAAGTTCTGGACAGGAGGGAAAAACAGAAGCTCCTAAAGGGTTATGGATAAAACGTAAGGAAACAAATTGTCACCAGACTTAATAGCAAGCCCGGAACAACCAATCAATGGACAATGCCTTCAAAATCCACAAATTATTTTATGGTACCAAAAAAAAAAAATTACCATAATCTACCCAAATGTCGTGACACTGTTACCAAAGAGGAGAGACTGCTGCAACACTTAAAGAAAAGGATATAATCATAGCTGTTTTAAATTAGGTTTTAGAAAGTCACTAAAACAGAAGTCTAAATTATAATCAACACTAGGAATATGATTATTTCAAAAAGTTAAAACAAATTATTATTACTATAGGTTCAAGAGCTTAAGTCCTAAATCTAATACACAAAGAAGATTAACTCTAGAATAATGTTTTTTTACTTCCAAGAAGTACACCTCACATTTGTGCCACTTGACATACTGCAAAAGCTAATTATGGAGGACTTAGTAGGACAGTTATAACGCCGGCCACAAAATAACAGGCCACCCCCTCTCAATCCTCACTGATACAGGGATTACACCTTATTTCCTACTCAAGGCTCTTTCCTCAAAGAAACAAGACACATTTATTACATGAAGCCAAGCCAAAGCATCTCTTCCCACCAGTATTCTGAACTGCTTTCTTGGGTTCAATTGTTCCAGCCCCTAAAAGCACAGGATATAGGAATGAAAGCAAGCAAAGAGAAGAACGAAAGTTTAGAGGACTTCTAAAGTCATACTGAGTTGAGAATAATTCTACAGACCTGTGGTCTTCAAACTCTGGTATGCACAATCCTGTGTGAACATGTCCAGGGTACTCAAAGGCACAGAACAAAATAGTGAACGGCTGGCTAGTGTCAAATTTACTTGATTTGGGAGGAACCATCTTGTACATAAATGGAAATATGGTGTAAAATACAAACTTTTCCACGAATTCCTAAGATAAAGCAGGAAACTATAAAGATTTTTTGTGCTCATGAACGAGCTGCACTGAACTCCGCCCAGAAGATTTGTGAAGGGGAGACTGAGGAGTGTGTGTGCTTATCCTCCTGTCGTTGAGGACGGAAAGGTTGGAGGAACACATGGCCTCTCATGCCCCTTTTACCACTCCAGCATGCCCCAGGGAAGCCACACACACCTTCTTTGTTCTCAAATGTAACCTTTCTGTTCTGTTCGGTCAATCACTGTTCTACTCAGAGGGCTTACCACCTCAACCTGAACTGACTGCAAAAACTCGTCTAAGGTCACAGGCACTCTTTATCCTAATCTACGTTTATGCTGGTAGCCTAACCTCCATACACTTTCAACACTAAATTAAACAAATATCTTAAGTAACAACAGTTGCCATTACTGAGGGCCTCTACAGACCAAGTCTCTTATATCCATTCTCTCATTTAAGCCCCCAAATTCTGTAAGGTAGCAGTTCCATTTTACAGAGAAGAAAACTAAGACTCAGATTAATTAAACTCTCCAAAGAAACTAAACTAATAAGTGACAGACCTGGGACTCCGGCCCACGTCTGACTCAAAAGCTTTCTATGTTACTTACTGAGAAGCTATTCTGTCCAAGCCAAGGTATTGAACATCAAAGGGAACACAGTTTATGCAAAAAATCTTAAAGACTCCCCACTGCCTCTAAAATAAGCTTAACAGCTTGTTTCACAAACAAACAAAAAAATGTCACTGAAGATTCTATAATTCTGACCACAGAAAACTGTTCTGTAGCCAAAGAGAATTATTCACTGTTCCCAAACATAAAATTCTAACTGAAGACCGGGCTTGGTGGCTCAGCCTATAATTCCAGCACTTTGGGAGGCCAAGGCGAGTACATTGCCTGAGCCCCCGTCTCTACAGTAAATAAAAAATTAGCCAGGAGAGCTAGTGTGGAACTGTAGTTCAGCCTACTTGGAAGACTGAGGCGGAAGCACTGCCAAAGTCCAGCAGTTCAACGCTGGGGTGGCCATGAGCGTGCCACTGCACTCCAGCCTGGGAAACACAGTGATATTCCAACACACACACACAAAAAAAATCTCACTGAATATGGTTCACACAGTTCACCTCAGTCTAAATTCCATCACGTTCACTTATAGAAACTCGACCACTCCGTTAAGGCCCAACTCAAGCCAAGTACAGTATCCTTCAGAAAATCTTACCAAATTACGGTTCTTAATGACAGGCCCCTAATATGATCAAGATGATACGTGCAAGATGTGCAAGATGATACGTATAATCCACCTCATAGCTTAGAACTTTGCAGCACAAAAACTATATTGTAACTTATACATTTCTCTCTCCCTTAGACATATACAGGCAGTCACCCAATCCCCATGTAATGTTCTTGCTGACATCTCACTGAAGCATATTTTACCTGGACATGCATCTCAAAACAAAGAATAGGCACCTGATTTATCATTTTGCTTATTATTAACTGGCTCCTCTTCCACCTGAATCTGCTCTAAGTCTTAACTCCTCATCTAGAGAGCAGTATTCAAACGCAGTCCACCTATCATCAAAAGACCTAAGCTCCTTGAGAAAACAGAAGCCACCAGATTAGCCATCCTAACCTGTTCTTCCTGTCTCAGTGTGTCCCTATGCTAGTTCCAGGTTAATATCTCCACCATGTTCTTGATCCCATCCTTTCTTTCAAGTTCTCACCCTAGTATTTCTTCCTTTCTCTGATCTTCGATCCCTCCCTAAAGCTCGTTCCCTTCAAACAACAAACTTGTTCACCTCTCCACTCATTTATCCCCAAAGCCAAGCACTGTTCTGTGTGCTAGGGTTATTAGACATGATCTCTGCCTCACAGAGCATGTATTCCAGTGAGCAAGACTGACATAAACAAGAAATCACTGAAAATTATGTTTTCTGACAAAGATAGCTCTATGAAGAAAATAAACAAAATAAAACACGGTGATTCAACTGAAGTGGAGTTGGAGAGAAGAGAACGGGTGGGTGAATCTGCTTAGAGCGGCTGTTTTGAGATACTTACCAGAGAGGTAACATTTGGAAGGGTTGTGTGAAGGCCTGGGGCAAAGTACTTTAAGACAGAAAACAAAGTATACAAAGACCAGGGGAAAAACCACCTTGGTGTGTATAATGAGATAAAAAAAGACCTCTGCACAGGAACTGAATGAGGATGGCAGGATACTGGTACATAAATGAAGTCTGAGTTGGTGGCAGAGACCAGATTTCACAGGCCACAGGGAAAGAGTCTGGACTTTATTCTACCTGCAACAGGAGGCCGCTGGGGGATCTGAAGCAAGCAATGATGTGATCTGATCATTTTCAAAACTCAAATATACAGAAATGCTACCTTCTTTAGATCAACATAATCAGTGTCTTCCAGGGTTAGATATGACTGCTATCTAACATTAAGTAACTTTCTAACCTGTTACTTAATGTTAGAAAACGTAATTTGAAAAACTGCCTCAAAATCCATCTTTAATGTTATATCAAACATATACTGCCTTTCTTTTTCTCTTTTGAGGTGGAGTCTCAATCTCTCGTTCAGGTTGAAGTGCAGTAGCACAACCCCCGCCACGGCAGCCTCAGGTGATATTCGGCCTCAGCCTTCCAAGTAGCTGGAACTACAGGTGTGCACCACCATGCCCGGTCAATTTGTCTTGATTTATTGTGGAGATGAGGTCTCACCAAGTTGCCCAAGTTGATATACTGGTTTTTGTTGAAAGTTAAAATTAGAAGGTAGAGAAGAAGTGTGGTTAACAAACTCAATAAACCACACTTGTTGATTTCGTTTATCGAGACGTTTCAAAATCACAACGATTTTGCTTTTTTACCCTTTCCTACATTTTGAACTGCTAATCCAAAACCTTAAACTCACCTCGACAAGCTTCTTCAAACTCTTGGGTAAGGTCCACCCAGCCTGTATTGCTGTTTTCCATTTTCTCTGGCATTCTGAGCTCCCATCCTGAATCGTCGTCATCTACGGAAGCTTTCATGACCATTATGCCTGTGGAACGAACAGCGACGTGAGAGAGGATGTAGCTTGCAGGGCGAGAGTATTTGCAAAGCTGTTTGTTTAAGTTGGGACCAAGGTCTCACGAAGCTCTTTCAGCAGAGCTCTTCTTTCCAAGCTGGAGGACGGAGCGGCCAAGGACCACCTGCGCGCAATCAAATCTCTCGTTCGTGACCACCGCTGCCGCTCCTTTCCTAGCAGCCCCCCTGCCAGGGCTCATCACGAGTCGGCCTCCCCCCGGCTGCAGAAAACCACAGGCCACCCCGCACACAAACGGGCCCACCGCTCCAACTCCAGAGCGCCCAACTTTCCGGACTGGCC